CACCTCAAATACGTCACTGTCGTTCTTTCAAAGCTGGTGAAACTGTAAAGACTACGAAACACAAATTTGAACTCATCAGAAATTTGAGAGAGTTGTGCCATGTGACCATTTCTCACAGTGAAAAGGACTTCTTGAGATGCTGGTAGTATCTTAGCTGTTCATAAAATTTTCCGTATCTTATAGAACCTGAAAGCTCGTTACTGCATTTCCAAGATCCCGTCACATTGTTCTTTCCTGAGCCACTTGAATACAAGTCACTCTCTGATCTTCTTTGTTTAGAATATTTTGAAAAATTCTTACACATAAGCAAGTGTCTGTCATGTGATCCCTTCAGTTCAGGTATTCCGATTGAAACTTTTACGCATTTCTCTCATCTCCGTGAGTGCTGCATTCACACTTTATTATGTCGTAGTGAACCTAGTTTATTTAAACTCTGCTACGGAGGTTATTTTGCATTTGGTAAGATACGAGGATGATATAAGGGAGGAAGCTTTCATGGGGTGACATTTACCAGGACCGGTACGAAAAGAAAGCAATAGGATTATCATTTGAACTAACGAGGTTCAAATGATTTGCCTCCGATACTTTCCAGGCGCCATTATAGTTAAATTTCTAGCTTATTTTATCCTTTTTGAGCCCTCGTGTGAATTATGAAGTGTCACATATCAATAAAATCTTACCGTAGTAAACTGACGTTTTGGGGAAAAACTCTGTCCCTATCTTCATGTTTCTGATGTGACTGGATCATCGGAAGCGGCTTTATTGATTGTACTAGCCGCGAAAGCCTCAAATCCCATAAGTGTCACATATGTTTGTCAGATGCCCATTTTACATCCTTCTCCTCTTTAAAGTGTAATAAATGTCTGTAAACCTTCTGTGATAACTGATGATGTCTAGTCTCATGAAAATTTGGAGTTAGGAAACGACCACTATAGTAATTAGAGGACGGTGTCTGTCGATAGTCAAACTCACTGCATCACCACAACAAACAGCTAAGCCTCTCTCCAACCTAAGTGGATAGCTGGTTCCACGTCCCTCAATCTATCTGTGCCCTTGATTAGCTTTGGTATCGAGATTGAACAGGGACTGGTCCACTCGGTGCCACTGTGTTCAGACAGAGCCAATTTGCTACCCGCCGTTACTACCTCGCTAAAACGGTGCTTAAAACCCTCATGAAACCACAGTGTTTGTTCAGTGGAAGCAAGATATCTACCCTGCCAAACAAAGATAATAGCTTAATATGTCTTCTTTAATTGAACATAGGTTTAAAAAAAGCGAAGAAGGGGCGAAAAGAAAGAGAAATTATACAATTCGACTGCTCTACCCTTAGGACATTGAGAAATATATCATAAAAGAAGGTTAATGAGCCCCAATCGACAATAACTTTAACTTTTCTGAGCAGAATTGCAGAAAAGGGAATCGTTTAGGGAAACAGTAAGCGGGTCATTATAACTCTCCGTGTTCCAAATTTTGTGAATCATATTAAATAACAACACGAGTATAAGAATACGTCATTATTCCTGAAGGCATGATCGTCAAAGGGGAATAAAATTTCGGCCGTAATTTATTCACAGCTTTTTCATTACATTTATTCCGTCGATGCGGAAAAAAAATACGTACACTCATTGTTTCGTCTTACAGAACTGTCTGGCTGTTTTGTGATCTGATAATAAACGGAATTCAGTGTGCTGGGAAATAAATCCGAAACAAAATTAACCTTTTATATGTGTGATCTGTTATGGAACAGTTATCATAACTATGACCGTGATACAAAATGAAACAACGAAAATCTGCCCGGTGTATCCTACAATGACTTTCAGAATAATAAACAATAAAGAACAAAACTCTCAATACAAAAGCCACTATATTAATGTCACGTGTGGAGCTCTGATTTCTGTACCAATCTGACTAGATTCAATGAGATCCCATTAGAGAATATAACAAGCCACCACTTGTGACAGAATGACCTATTCAGTTTGCCTTTCATCATGTTGCCCACTCTATATTTGATTTACTACTCCCGTTAGTAAAATGGCTTAGCTTTAGCTAAAGCTGCTGAGAGTTTTATAATTGATTATTGTCCCTTTCCAAAACCATACTTTTTATTTATATGTTTTTGGTATGAAACTCATGCTGAATATTTTCGAATTATGAAAGAATATAGGAACAATAACATGACGTTATTGAAGAGCTGACTGTAAAAGGCTTTTCATGCTGAACTGAACAGCCGATTATTTTTTGTTCACGAAACCCGTGCGATTCATCTATACTTTTATTTAAGCATATTGACTTTGCGACTAAGCATGTTTGTGGACTGCTTGTCATTTTAAAACTGCACACCTATTGTCAGTTCCTCACAATATGACGTCCTTTAAAAAAATGAACGTTAAATAAAATAATGTAATCTAAAATTAGCTCGACGGTAGCTTAAGTATTAAAGTACATCTCAGTATTTTATATCATCGTCACGTCATCGACCTGACAACACCAAGTAAATAAAACCATCTGACACAGTATTTCGTAAAATTCAGTTTACTTAAAATTACTTACAACGTTAATAAAGCTGCTCTAAATTAATTATATCTGGGGATTTTAGTTATATTTTGAGATTGTGACGGTATTTATTAAAATGTTAGGAAACCTACATATTCTACCGAATCGAGGTAAATAAATGTTTCGGTTATTTCCCACATGGATTTCAACTTTTCAAAATATCATCTGCTACTAGTAGTGTAATTTATACAATGCTAATCCTACTCGACTTGGAGTTTCTATTAACAGCAGTCACTTGTTAAGGTTCAATTGGAAATTTCATTTTGAAAACCCCCGTAAAGCTGGTAAATGTTTCTGCAATCAATATAGTGGCCAATTTTAGTATGTTTTGGCCTGTGTAGTGATGCCACGAGTTCACTAAATAGTCCCTTAGGCCTATATAATCGGAAAAAATGTCTGTATCTCAAAGTATTCTAGTTCTCTTGGGAATATTTTAGAATTTAGATGTATAAGTGTTGTACATAACACTGCCATGGCCGATTTATTCCCCTTATGCTGACGTTTCCCTATCGATATCACCTCTTTACATTATCTCGAACTAAGTAATTATAAATCTGCTGAATAACTCCATACAGCAGAATATTGCTTGTTAACCTGTTAGTTGCTCAGCAGCTCAAAGGTTTTTATGGATCCAGGAAAACGCCCTTCATGGGGCCATAAACTGAGATCGTTAAATCATACAATTTCACGCTTTGTTCTCCTAACATTTATTTAATATGGTGATATCTGAGGTTCTCGCGGCTGTGAAGATGACCCAGTTGCTGTTCTGGGTAGTGACGCCGTGTGCAAGTGGCAGATATGGGACAGACAACGACGTTATATTTTACAGTTATGTTAATGGGATCTCAGGTTCAGAACCTCCTGTGTAAGGTAAAAATCAAAGCGAAGTCTATTCCGAAAATACATCAGAGAGAAATGTCTGTTGATCCGTGTAGACTCAATTAACTACGCAACAGGCCGAGGGCCGAGAGTATACCCTTATCTGCCTGTTCACAGCCCCGCCAGCACACCAAATCCCCACACAATGTAAGCCTGGATGCTTCCCTCTCTGTTCGGCGCAGGAATTATTGAAATGACGCTGAAAATTACCATTTATCTCCCTACACCAGACAGACAGACAGACAGCCTCCCATCATGTAAAATTTCTTGGTTTGCTGATTGGCTGGCAGGTTTGCGTCACTTCGGCTTGGTTTAAGTGCTACTCTCCTGACAGGTGGTATTTTAATGTGTCGTGTCTTCTTGTCGCATCTCTTTTTGTGTTGATAAAAATGAACCCATAATTTCTACGTTGGATGTTACAAAGTGAACTGAATAGTGTATCCCTTTTTGGAGTAAAAAATAAATAAGTTGCATTATCGATCTCGTAACTTCTCGTTTACTGGTTCAACTTCAGTTTTTCTATCTACGTAACCCATCTGTATTGTTTATATTTTAGTTAGAGAACTCGAGGACTCTTCATTCAGGGCCTCTAAAAATGAAATATGAACTTGAAATACGACACAAGTAAAATAATTTCGTGTTTAGGTAGCATTTTTTACATCGGTTTTCACACATCATCATTGTCACGTGATAAGTCAGTACACTGACTGACTGCGGGCTTAATGATCTGGATTCAGTACCAAGCAAGCGTTATTCAGAAAATGATATTGAAATTGCGGATTGTGGTTTTTGGGTGAAAGTGAAGACATCACATCTTAGACAATTAATATGTAGTTAAAAATAACTGTGGCTTTAGTTAGCTCTGTTAGTTGCAGGAACAACTAACTTTATGCGTCTTCTCAATTTGTCTTGTCTGACTTTGATCATTTGAATAAGTTCAATTATTGAGAGAATGGCCACTAGAACGCACATACTGATTTTTGGATTAATTAATATTTAACTAAGGACAATTTTTTAACATGTGAATATGGAAACTGAACTCACGTAATTTGATTCTTGCAGTAAAATACATTATGTTTGTGAATCCTTGGAATTGGTGGAGTTTTCTCATTTTTTGAATATTTGTCTCATTTACAGTTATAAGTTCTATTTTGTGAAAATTTACTTTAAATATCCTAGTCCTTAGAAAAGCCAAAAGGAAACGGTCACACTGTGAACCCAGGAGATGGAACTAAGACGTCACAAGCGGTGGAGATCACATGGAGAATTTGCCTCAGTGACATCTTTGAATTAATAAGAAAATATTACTGTATGTTGTGAGTGTGGTATAAACTAAACATTGATAAGAGGCCAAGCAGTTGTTTACTTGGTATTTTGTTAGATTAAAAATTTACCTTATCAATTTATTCCACCTAATCACAAAATATAAATAAATATCGTAAAAGTTTTATTCTACAGACTGGACGATTAATGACTCAGATCTCTTAACTTCCGCCGAACACAAGCGTGGCTGATTCTGAAAAAATGGCAATAAGAACACAGCATAACTGAAATGTTTTCACTTTCAGATGTACCTAAATTCGGTGAGCTGATTAACAATGTGACGGCTTCAGTGGGCCGAGAAGCTACGTTGGCCTGCGTTGTGGACGACCTAGCGACGTACAAGGTAGAGCAACACTTGTCTGCAGTTTAATAATAATTCAATTTAATTCGTTATTATTAGAGTGATAGCCACGGTGGACTGGCCTTGTAATCCTGGGGTCTGGGGTTCGATTCCCGGCGGTGCCCGAATTTATAACTTGTGTTGGGCAAGGCCGTGGTCTAGGCATCACGGAGTTTTCCTCCGGGGGCTTCCCCGGTTTCTCCGTGGCATCCCAACAATTACTCCATTCACACACAGAAGAAGGCAATGGCAAACCACTTCTGGATCATCTGCCAAGAACAGGTCCCAGTCCGAGAAAAGGAAGGAATTACAATGAGAATACTTGTGACACATATTAAAAACAAAATGTATTTTGGAAATAGCTGCTGCACTATGTACCTCAGGGGCAAGGTTTGTCTCGAGTACATAGAAATAAATACCCTATAAAGTGGCGAATAGATGAAACAATAATATAGTATTTCATAGGTGAAAAGTAAAGTTACCAGTGCAAGATTATAGATATAATGTGAGTGGCAAGTTTTGAAAATTTGCCTGTTAGTATATATCTCATAAACTCCTTTCTAGATTGGTATCGAGCGTCGTAGCAGTGTGGTTAGCACTCCAATTTCGTTTATTTTATATTTGAGAGGTCGCGGGCTCAAATCTCACTCCATGCAGATTCTAAAATGTAATATTGTTGTGTACCGTTTGAATATTTGCTGCAGTGCAATAAGGCACTGATTTTGGGTATATTGGAGGCGAGCTTTATACGACTATGTATTACGATGAATAATTTCATATCATATTCAAATCTGTTCCTATGTAAATGTTCGTTAACCACATCGCCTGTCTGCCTGCCTGCTTGTTAGGTTTATTAAATTTTATGTTATTCGCATATGGAATTCATAATCGAACTCAGAATTTTAACTGGACTTTAATTGGAATCAGGCTTTTTGTCAGGATGAACGCCAGATGTACAAAATTATGGCTTTCAGAATCTTGTGTTAAACTCAGTTACCATCAACTGACAACTATTTACGCGCGTCTACTTTGAATATAAGATCTGTAAGTGAAGTTTAACGAAGCGTTTGGTCTATTTTTGAATTGTAGCTAAAAATTGTTCATTTGTGTATTTACAGCACCTGATCAACTAAACATTTATTTTTCCTGTGAAAATTAGCACATGTGTTGAAAACAGACGTTGGTTTTGGCAGTAATTTTCTGCTGGCAAAATATGTATTGTGAAAAACGTCAGAAATGTATAAGGCACAGTTTTTTCAGTATTTTCCGAGCTAGTATTGAACTATTTGAATATGATATAGAATGTCCAGGGCTATTAGAACTTGAATGTCTATCTATTTTCTTTTATGGTTCATTTTCAGTATTGAGAGTCAATTTCATGTAAGCCATGGCATACAACCTGAAACCACGGTTTGTTATATATTACGTCATATAAAACTTCGCTTTATTACAGCTGAGACGAAATTAAATAAGTTCAACTAATAAACCCTTTTATTGTACAGTGTTCATATAGCATAAAACGAGCTTTTAAATTACTGTTATGGTATGGGAGAATCCCTCGGAATCTGGCGGACTGACAGAATAATTGCTAGAATTTATGCAGACTTTGAGGTGATACGTCTTACAGTATATATTTCAAGGCGCAGTAAAATATTTTACAAACTTTCACCTCTCCCTTTTTAGTGTGTTTAAAGAGAATTTGTGCACTGTTCCGGGTCAGTGTTTTTAACACTCTGTTCAGTATTGTGTTTCACTTATAGTAACAAACGACTTCGATGAAAGGATTATTCGAGAATGGACACGCGTTTCACTCGTGAATACGCCATGTTTGTACCTACACAGCTTTGGCGCAACTGGACTTGAGTAGCGACCCAGCAACCAACTGTGTTCTTTACACTAACGTACTGTTTTAGGCAACTGCTCATGTGATACAGCATAATTAAGCTACTTGCTAGCATTAGTGTGATTTGATGTTAATTTTCTTACTTCATAAGGAGAATTGGAAATTGGCAAAACCATGAAAAATATAAATTTAAACACATCGACCGCTGTGCAATGTTTGGACTCGGTCAACTTTACCTCTGATCGATCCATCGTTTGTGGAAATAAGGTGAACACTGCAGAAATCCTTTGAATCATCTGAGTATCAAGGTACTGTCACATAGTGTCTCTGCTTTCTTTGACCCGTCATTAGAGACGACGCTTTGAGTTTGTCTGCATGATCTTAACGAGAGACCCCAAGCTTACTTTTACGATACAATCTGTGTTATGAAGGCCTGTAAATGCACTTGTATACATGTACAAAGTTTGCAGCGAATTCATTGAATCGGATATGTGGACATTTTGAAAATGAAGTGTGTGCATGTAAAAGTTCGGAACTTTAAAGAAGACGTGAAACGACGGAATGGTAAATTAAGTTTAAAATACGAGGCTCTTCTCTCATGATGCAGACACTATAGGGTATAATTAAATTTCATACCCAGAAAGCAAAGGGTGGGTAGACCTATACATGCTAGATACGTACAGAGTAACACAAAGCTTGGCTTAAATTGAGTTTGGAATAGTAGACATCCTACGTTAAAACATTTCTAATGACTTACTATACAGTTGATCTTAAATGGTTATTAAGCGAGTGATTGTGGACATGTCACGACATACGAATTGCTGAAGCTCCTTCGTCTCAGCCCTTTGACCGAAAATCACAACTGTATCAACTACTTTTGTCTCCGTCACATTCCGAAATTGAAGTGCTCTCACATTAAGAAACATTGTTAACGTTTTCGAACATGGGCTATGCCTAACTCTAAGCTTGTCCTTCTGTCTCCGAACAAAATGCAGTTTATTACATACCATTAAGGAGCCGTGGTAGCTCAGATGGCAAGGTGAAGTGGAGAGATAGCTCCACTCATTTTAACCTCAGCACTAGACGTTTAGAATCTTAAGAATTGAAGATTTCTGTCTTGTGGGTTGTTGCGCTGTGTAGTCTGGTCGATGTTTACCAACGTTTCAGAGGTCGTACTGCCTCCGTCATCAGGGCGATGAGTATGAAGATTTCTGTCTTCTGGGTTGTTGCGCTGTGTAGTCTGGTCGATGTTTACCAAAGTTTCAGAGGTCGTACTGCCTCCGTCATCAGGGCGATTCTTCATGCTCACCGCTGTGAAAAGCTCAAATCTTACATCTTAAGAATTATTGCTGTGAAAAGCTCAAATCTTACATCTTAAGAATTATTTGCAGACATGATGATAACTAAATATCAATCGAAACACGTAGTCTAACAAGAAATGGGTGTTTCAGAATGTTGTGAATAACAAGGTGTCAGAAATGGCGGAATTTAATCAATAAAATAAAAATTATACTGCACCGTACGGCATTCAACTTTTGAATAGGGTTTGCTGTTAGAAAATATACCGTCGACTGCTCTGTGCGAGCTCATCCCAAACGTGTCTAATCTAATATACTCTAGCCATTTGACCTGATAGTCTACTCATCCAGTCGGATATTTTATGTGCGTCCCTTTCCAAGTTCTTTGCAATATATTTTCCAGAAAAATATATCACCGGAATAAGAAAACTGAAAAAGCTAAGAGGAGCCCTCTTACGAGATTCTCGTAATGTGATAGAAGTCATAAAATGTAGTTGTCAGCGAAATCTAAAGTCGTGTCTCTACAAATATGGACCTGGTTATATCCTTCTATCGATAATGTTTTTGTTGATTAAAATTAACCAACTTTAAAATTTGCTACATCCCTTTGCAAACTAAGAAATCACGCAATTTATGTTACAGAGAACCTTCAGAATTATGGTCTGAATTTTGTTTGGATCAAATCCTTGTAAATGAAGTGTACGAAAACGCCACAAACTTACTATTATCGTATCAGTAGAAACGAAATCCTTGACGTCGTGATCTGTTTTAATTCAAGTTTTCTTTTTGTAAGGAGATTTTTGCAGCATCGCCATCCTCGTCTGTCACCACCCCCACCCCAATAACGTTTGAACCAAATGGTGGAGTTTCATAAAACGTAGTATGCGCAGCACGCCTCTAGATGCCACTCCAGCTTTGTAGGTTTAATTTCCACGTCTAATAAATCCAACATTGCGCTTGTGCGAACTTTCGATATGGGAACGAGAATGTACCAAATTAATTTAACGTCCTCGTATTTCTTGTGGAAAAAAATATTCGATAAATGGTCAACCATATGCATTATATAATGTAAACAATAACTTTGTGCTAGCGAATTTAAGGTAATTGCTAATGAACCATTGCAGCTGAGGTATGAAGTATCTTATACATATATACCATAAAGATACGTACAAATAATGTACGAGTATGTGTTCGTTTTTGATTTTAACAGTTACAAACATGGCGAATCCTTGTGATTATGTGTGGAAAATTTTACGTAGCCGGGAATTTTGTTAGTGGTTATTTTGTTTAGATATGCATCACTAAATTACGCAGTCCTTATTATTAATTTATAATCCCATGTGGAATTAAACATTTGAAGTACAATTGACGTCTTATGTTTTTACCGAAACCTATTTATTGCAATTGGCCTGCACAGTATAACGAGTTTGAAATTATATTCATGATAAATTATTTTCAATAAAGTTCTGTAGAGAAGATGGAGTAAACACATATTCAAGCATAAAAATGTCCGTTGAACATTTTAGGCATAAATCTTTTAGTAACCAAAAAGAATCATAAAATTGCTTTGTTAGTACATATTGCATATAAGTACTATTGTGCACACATTATTTATAAAATGATGGCCCGCCAAACTCCTTGTGCTGCTGCTACGTATTCTCGCGATAATACCGCTCTGTCTTCTGTTCTAAGGATCGCTTGAAACATTTCTTCAGCCCACAAATTCTCCTATCTGAACATTGCTGTATAGGAATTTATGTGTAAAGGAAACCGAAGCGTGAACCCACATCTCTCCGGTTCTAGATCTGTCGCTGTATCTGTTTTCTGTTGCATAATCATAAACTCTTATACATTATTGTAGA